ATTTCTTCGGGCTTAGCTTCAGGCCGGAACTTCTTAAGCGCTGAAAGACTTCCTTCAGGTTCTTCATATGGTCCTCAAATGATTTCCCAACCACAATGATGTCGTCAAGGTACACCAAGCATGTCTTCCAGGATAGTCCCTTCAAAACCATTTCCATTAGCCTTTCAAAAGTTGCAGGGGCATTACATAGTCCAAACGGCATGACAGTAAACTGCCACAGTCCAGCACCCATGGTAAACGCCGTCTTTTCTCTATCTTCTAGTGCCATTTCAACTTGCCAATAACCGCTCTTTAAATCCAAAGTTGAAAATATCTGCGATCCAGCCAATGTGTCCAGGGTGTCATCGATCCTAGGTAGAGGGTAGCTGTCCTTCTTCGTCACGTTGTTCAGCTGACGAAAATCGACGCAAAATCGAGTTGATCCATCCTTTTTCTTAACTAACACCACTGGGGAAGATGGTTCGATCACCCCTTCCTTCTCCATTTCTTGCACTATTTTATCAGCTTCCTCTCGCTTAGCAAGAGGTAGCCTTCTTGCCGACTGTCGAATGGGCTGCGCATCACCGGTGTTAATTTTATGCTGGACAGTTTTTGTCCTACCCTTCTTTACTTGTCCGTCGTCAAAAACATCCTGATAATTGTGTATCAGCTCTCTTAGCTTTATTCTTTCATTGGGCTTCAAATCCTTTGAAGAAGTCGACAGAAGATTCATAAATTCATTGCTCACTTTCTTGGCCGGGACTGCAGATTCACGAATGCCTCTAATAATCGAGGAAACCGAAGAACAGTTCCCCAAAACGATTCCTTTCTTCAAGTTTACATTCAATACTCTAACAGGCACTTCTTTTCCGACACGTATTAAAGTCTTCCCTACTACAATTCCTCGACCGACCTCTTTGTCATCAATTCTCGGCTCCAGAAGCATTATACTTCCATCTTCTGATTTACAATTCAAGAAAGCCTTCAATATCATCTCGCTGTTTTCCGGTATCAAAGCATCTTCTGTTAGCATTACACGAATATTCTTTTCTTCAGATCGATGCCACACGACTTTCTCTCCATTTACCCTCAATATTCCTTGCTTAAAGTTCAGTTCAAATCCTATTGAGTTCATAATGTCCATGCCTACAATAACTTCTTCTTCAATATCTGCAACTAATGCTCGATGTTTAAATTTCGTGTTTCCTATGACCATCGTGATGTCCACTTCTCCACGAACAGTAGCGGTTTCTCCTGTTGCAGTACGTAGTCGCCGATTGGTAGATTTGATCTTGGACATTTCGACAATATCTGGCCTAATAATTGTCTTCGTCGCACCTGTATTCAGCAGCAGCACATGTAATTTTCCATTAATTAAACCATCCACAAAAACACTGCTGGACTGGTGTAGAAGAGATGCAACACGTTCGATATCTTCTGGGGCATGCTGGTTACAGGTCGACGGTGGCCCCTTTTCCTCGACCCTATCTAGTTTTCCGACTGAGACGAAGTCGGCACTGGCTGACTTTCTCTGCAACGACTTCGTATATGTCCTAGCTTCCCACATCTCCAACATCGGATTTCCTTCTTCTCTGGTAGTTTTTCTTTAAAAACTCGCCGGATTGCTTCAATTATACTGGGTTCCTCCTCTTTCTCTTCCTCGACTCTCCTTATTCTAGGCTGGCTCCTGCAGCTCTGCTTTGCCGCCTCGAATTCCAAAGCTCGAGCCAATGCATCAACCAGTTGGCTCGGACGAGCCAACGTCAGAGCCTGTCTTGTTTCGTTGTCCCGAAGTCCATCCAAAAAGGCTTGAACCGCTAATCGTTCCATAACGGTCGTTGGAGTAGCTGGATATGCTAGCCGAACCAAGCGTGCAATATCAGCCTCGAATTCTTGCAAAGTCTCGTTTGATTTCTGGCAGCGGTTCTTAAGTTGGGAATGGTAGACATGTTCCAAATGTGTCTGGCCATATCGAAGTTCCAGATGTTTCACCAACGCTTCGTAATCTTCTTGATCGTTGGGAGAAAGCGTCTGCAAGATGTCCGTTGCATCTCCGCGTAAAGCCAGAGTCAATGCTATAGCCTTCTCTTCTGGTAGCCAGCCATTTGCTTTTGCTGCTGCCTCAAACTGACGGATGTAGTTGGTCCAAGAAGTTTTTCCATCAAACTGAGGTGGTTTCATCCGGACTCGGCTCCCCTCCTGCACTGTTCCTGGTTCCGTCATCATCATAGGTAAATTTACAGCTTTCAGTTTACTATTTATTTCTCTAATTTTGACCTCCAATTTCTCGTTTAATTTTTCTTCTCTCGTATCCAATTCCATCCTTACGTTATTTAATTCCATCCTTACATCGTCAACTTTCTGTCCTACTTTTTTTTCTAATTCCATCCTTACGTTTTCTTTTAATTCATTTACATTATCTAGAATCTTCTGTTCCAAATATTCCTTTAAATTTTTAGAATTTTCCAGAATTTTCTGCTGCAGTTCGCTAGAATTTTCCAGCATTTTCTGTTGCAAATCGTCCTTTAAATCGTTGACATTTTCTAACATTTTCTGTTGTAACTCGTTAGAATTTTCTAAAATTCTCTGTTGTACTTCGCTAGAATTTTCCAACATTTTCTGTTGTAATTCGTTGGAATTTTCCAGAATCTTCTGTTGTACATCGCTAGAATTTTCTTGCATTTTATGTTGTAACTCGTTAGAATTTTCTAGCATTCTCTGTTTTAAATCGTTTAAATTTTGCAACATTAAATGCATATCACACGGGCCTTCAAATAAATACGTATCTGGATTTTCACCCTCTTGTTCCAATGCTTCTCGAAGCCGCTGCTGCAACACATTCTTTTTTCCAGTTGTTTCACATTCTCTTTCTTCTAGCTCCCGCTTAAGGTCCGCCACTTTTAAGTCCATTAACGAAACCATTTTCGCGAAGTTTCACACTAATCCCACTTCTGACACCAATTGTAACGTTTTTAACTGTTCGTAGTGTGAATTAAAACACGCACTGGTTAATTAACGAACTAAACTATTTATTTAATAACTTAACTACACTTAAAACACTATAAAACTAACTTAACACTTAACTACTAATTATTTATATATCACTATTGTTCAAGAGTCTATTTATTTGCACTTATATTTATTTATTTCGCCGCGAGTACCAAATCTTAACTGGTTGCTCTGTGAAGCGCCGTTCCTTATATATTACAGCGCCTACGTCTTCTGGAACATTCCAGCGAGCTCCACACTCTCGATTATTCGAGCGCTGAGTCACCGGCGATGACTCACCGGCGATGAGTCATCACTCCGATATCCAGAACGGTACTCGCTACACAGATAAACGCTAGGACACGTAAACATAATTTTCGGTCGTAGATTCCAAATCTGTGCTCGGTTTAGCTGTATCAGGTTTAAACAAGTTTTTCCTATTGGCAATCCGATCCGGGGACACACTGTATACTGGTATATTAATATTTGTAAAATTATATATTTCACCTCTTGTGCCAACATTCCTATGCTTTTTATTTTGTTTAATATAATATAATTTAATATCCTCAATTATACTCAATAAAAAAATCAACAAAAAACATTTTGAATTTCCTAAATTATCTAAAAAAAACCTCAGGGACACTTGTTCCTTTTGATCAGTTAACCTCAAATGATGGGCCAAATTATTTTTTTTTAAATTAATACGGGGTGTTTCCTAATGGGATGCTCCAAAACTTGAAAATAAAATATCTTTGAATTTTGACCTGATACAGCTAAACCAAGTACGGATTTGTCCAAAAGTTAAGTTTACGTGTCTGAGCGTTTAGCTGTAATATTTAATGCTTAATAATTGTTATTACAATAATTATTGTTATTACAATAATTATTTTAAGTATTGTTTAAGAAATAAAACTGAAGATAAAATGTGTGTGTCATTCGGCGTATTTTTTTTTACTTCAGAAGACTCACTTCTCAGCTTTAAACATAAATAACTATTATATTTAAGAGTTCTTTAATTTAAACTTTATTATTGTCAATATTGTCAACTTTTACTACTAAAGTTTTAGTGATTGATTATAGCCTAGTATGTAAAAATAATTTAAACCAATCGGGTAAAGTTTTTACCTCCTTGACAATACAATTCATTAATATTAGAACCAATAAAATGCCAGTATTCCATAGTTACGCATTTTATCACAGCGGCAATATTTGTATCACCTTGTTTACACGTTACTGAGGATTTTGACACTTTTCTTGATTTGACATTTGTTGACATTTAAATCCTGTGGTTGTTATATGATTAAAATAATGAATGATAAACTCTAAAAGATCGATGGGTTGGTGTAAACGATAATGAAATTAAGGCAAGTTTGAATAAATAAGTTTTATTAAAGTCTTTTTATATTTTAAAGCACATTTAAATTTCAAATGTCAAACTGACAATTCGTTAAATCCTAAAATGATTAATAATCGATAATATTTACTCATTGAAACCGAAGCATCACATTTCACTCGTCCTGCAGACTCGTGAAATCTGCAGCTCGGTTTCAATTCGAAAATATCATCAATGATAATCATACCACTTTTTATATTATGGGTGACTATAAAAACCCCGTTTGAACCAATCAAAAAATTAAACTACTGTTAGATCTACCTAAAATCACTTTCTAGTTGTAATGATTATAATTCCAAAATTGTTCCTGGAAAATAAAACATTAACCATTTGAACTTATTGTTAATAATTAACAATTATTGTTTCATTATCAACCACTTTTCGATGTATATTATCTTGGTTTATTACGCCGTTAAATTGTAAATTAATTAATAACTCGTAAAATACTGATATTATTTTTATGATTATTAGTAAACATGTACCTAAAATTATTATATTTGATATAAATAACTATTGCCAAAAGACATATCTTATTTTTGTGATAAATGTATTAATAGACTGTAACTGCACCTATAATGTGTACAAATTCCGTATAATAATCACATCTAAAGTAAATCATCGAGCTTAAAAAACCTTTACCATGAACAACAACGACAATATAGATAACATGCGTAACACCACTGTATTTATGAACGGGCAAAACCACAACGACCACAACTTAAATGGGCAACAAGATGCAACTGTCTTAAACGAACAGACCGTTACCGGACAAACCAATAATGAGCGTTCCAACATATTTTTTGCCAATCTTAATAACAACCCCAACACTCGAGGCCCTGGATATCGCTTGCTGTCGGTGCAAGGCATGGAAACGCTCCAGACTTTTCTACGGGAACATGGGAACGAGTGTATAAAACAGTTTATTAAGGTAGGTTAGTAGTAATCAGATAAATATAAGTAAGAGGCACATTTTAGACGAAAACGAAATTCATTTAAAACTTGTTAAAACAGTAAAAACACGAAAATGACTATAGTTAGATTTACGAACGTTTAGTAGCTATAAATAAAATATTAAATATACAAAAATCTAAAGATGAAGCTGATTATTGGAATAAAATATGCTATTTTGCTCCAATTTACCAATTAAAGCAAATATATAGCTATAGCTGTGTGCTATTTTGACGTAATTTCGCTTATTTTTAAAAGATGCGGTTTCGCCATTCGCCGTTATTTACTATATTAGGCAACTTTTGCTGAAAAATATTTTTTCTGGCTCATCACTAATTTGAACTATCCTGAGTAGGGTAGGATCCAGGATTTTAATAAAAAGGGGGTCCACAAGCTTCAGATAATCCTTTATACATAAATATAAATAAAAGTCAAATTTTGTTTTTTCTGATTCCGAAGGGGGGATTCGGACCCCCTGTGGATTAGCTATCAATCCTGAAATAACTAACTCATTAAAAATGAATTAGTCATAAATGACTAATTACTAGAGTTATTAGTGGCTGCTTTTTGACTTATACCATGGTATACTATGGGATAGCATGGTTTACCTGACATAATATCCAATTCTTATGGTAAAATTGTCCGCATAATCCGACAATGTCGTCAAAAGTTATAAAAGTAAAACATTTTTTAGATATAGTCAATTTTCCATATAATATGGAATTGCAGGCCTCCCGCTAGGTCACTTTTATAGTAAAAAGTTACTTTTTGGTTGGTTGGTTACTTTTTGTTGAAAAAAGTTACTAAAGTTACTATTTCTGTCCAATATATTCTCTTATTTCAATATATCCCTGTACACTGTTCAAAATTTCATGACCATTTTAACACCAAATTAACACCAAACATGGTCTATATCGATACAAACCAAAATGGTGTTAAATAAGGTTCGTTGGTCCGGTGTAAATTCAAATACTAAAATGGTTTTAATTTAACTTTCACACAGTATTAAAATAAATTTTACTTGGTGTAAATTGAACTCCTTTTCAGTGTTAAATATTATGTGTTTGTGGACAAATTAAATCATACTACACAAAAAAAGGAAAAAAAAAGAAACAGGAAGTTCCTTGACGCATTACTAGGATATTACCAGTGGTATTATTCCAGAAAATGGAACCTTCAACTCGCTAGAGATAATGTAACTTAAAATACTTCAAGTATTGACAGCTGTTTCCACCTATTTAAGGTCTCTTTAGTATCGAACAACTTGTAGTGTTACACCAAAGCAAATGATTACCTGAGTTTATATATTCTTCATGTAAGTCAACAGAGGCGAGATTTAAGAACATCGCGTGATCCACACCGCCTTTGCCGCGAACGGTACACATTTTCAACCATAATTCATGGTGTTAAATTAACACCACTTGGTGTTGGATTTTGACACCATTTTAAGATTACTTTTTACACCACAGATATTTTAAACAGTGTATTAAGCATATTCACTCGTATGCGAAAATAATATATTATATATATACTCATGAGTTATGCATAAAATTTAGTGATAAATAAGGAATTATTAGCTATGCAACTGATATGAATCCGATTTGGCAACCCAGCTGGCGCGAACATAACATTACACGCAAAGCACAAACTGTCGGGTGTATCAAGATTAGGGTGCTTCATTTTAGAGCGACATTTCCCACCTGAAAATCTTCTAATCGGTCAGAAAATAAAAATTTTGAGCCATTACAAAGCTCTTAATTTTTATTTTAAGCCGTTGCTATTCAATTTTTAAATATTTCCCTTTAAAAAAAATTAAAAACAATTTTTTATTCTTTTCTCCTTCCGCTCCCAAAGTAAGAATATTTTTTTCGAATTTCGGTTCTAAAATCTTTATACAGGATGAAATTATCTTCAAAAATGTCTGTTTAAGCACGTCTCTAAGTTGAATATGTTCTTCACAAATTGCCGTTCTACTGAAAAATCTTCTAAAATAGCAGTAAATCGTATTTGAAGATAAATTGTAGATTAATTGTAGATAAAAAACGTAAATGACAATTTTGTAGGGAATTTTGTGCCCTGCAAATTTGTTAAGAATAGTACATTCTGTAACAAGTTTGGAATACAGCATATTCCGCTCGAGGAAAAATTTGACACACGAGCCGAAGGCGAGTGTGACGGTTTTACGAGAGTGGAATATGCTATTCCAAACGTGTTTCAGACATTATTTTCTCTACGACTACGTAAGAATAGTAACGCTTAAAAGAAGAAAGCAGTTTTTGACATTTAAGTTTTTTGTATTGTCAAACCATTTTGTGCCGTCACAATTTTATAATGTAAATTATAATAAATTTAAACAAATGGTATGCCTAAATCTTTATTATAATTAAAAATAGTTATTTACACTAACTAATAAAAAAAATAACATTGTAACAAATACAAAACTAATTTTACAAGTAATCTATGTCAACATCTATTCTTTTTCTACATTTTAAAGGTCTTTTTTTAAACTTTTTGAATCTGTCAAAACTTCAAAGCCGGTATAGTAGGTAACTGGTTTATCATTTTAATATCAAATTTATTATAATTTTGATTTGTATATTTGAAAAACAATAAATATAACTAATTTTTTGGGCCTAAACCTTAATTATACAACTGCTATTATTTTTTAATTAATAAATAATACAGTAATATTTAAATATTTTTAAATTTTTTACGTTTTGTAAACAACCAGGAGATGTCGTTACTTGTGACCATTCTTAAACAAGAGTGGGAATATTCTCGCACAGTATTGCAGAAAAACATCCTTTCTATGATCAAAAAGTACACTAGAATGTTACTATTCTTAAGTAGTCGTAGAGAAATATGTTTCTGTATCACTTATAGTTTAGCTTGTACAGCTATATTTTTAAAATTGACCGGGGAGCTCCATTTAGATTGTTTTTTTTTTCAATCAAATTACTTTTTTTGTAAAAGTTAATTATGCTAAAAATAACATTTTGACTCAAAAAAGTTTTTAAACTGTTTTCCACCTCCCTCTGAATATAATAATTTTTATATTTAAGATGGCTTTGGGGCAGTAAAAGGAAATTAAAAAAAATTAAAAAAATTACAAAAAATACTTATTTTTACCATACACAAGTATTCTATATATAGGCGTTTTCAATTTTAAAAATATTTATATTTCGCACCACCCTAGTGTTTATGCTCCTACCAGCGCTGTTGTCATTTTAAACGCCATGCTTTATTCTGCATTGCACAAAAGAGCAAATAAAAATAAATTGCAAAAAGACGCAGATAAAATGACTGGCACATTTTGCAAGAGAAAAACTTTAGATTTTGATACAATATTATGACAATGACAATTTTGTAGGGAATTTTGTGCCCTGCAAATTTGTTAAGAAATATGTTTCTGTATCACTTATAGTTTAGCTTGTACAGCTATATTTTTAAAATTGACCGGGGAGCTCCATTTAGATTGTTTTTTTTTTATTCAAATTACTTTATTTTGTAAAAGTTAATTATGCTAAAAATAACATTTTGACTCAAAAAAGTTTTTAAACTGTTTTCCACCTCCCTCTGAATATAATAATTTTTATATTTAAGATGGCTTTGGGGCAGTGAAAGGAAATTAAAAAAAATTAAAAAAATTACAAAAAATACTTATTTTTACCATACACAAGTATTCTATATACAGGCGTTTTCAATTTTAAAAATATTCATATTTCGCACCACCCTAGTGTGTATGCTCCTACCAGCGCTGTTGTCATTTTAAACGCAATTTGAGAACTGCCAATTGGACTAAAACTTTTAAATTGGGGATTGGCGACAAAATGGTCGTGGTCGAATATTTTTTTATTGAAAGATTTTATTTATTTTGTTTTTAAATTTGCAGCTTTTAACTGTTTCTAGTGACGTAATTTTTCTTTTTATATTCATATTTTTCAAAAAATGTCCTATATTTATCAATCAGGTTTTATAAAATAATCGTTTTTCTTGAAGAGACTTTTTGAACAAAAAATATTTAGTAGTAAATTTGCGCAAGCCATGCTTTATTCTGCATTGCACAAAAGAGCAAATAAAAATAAATTGCAAAAAGACGCAGATAAAATGACTGGCACATTTTGCAAGAGGAAAACTTTAGATTTTGATACAATATTTATTCACTTACGGTAGCCCAAACTAGATTCTGGTTACCCAGTAATTTTTGCTTTGTATTGTCAATAAACGATGTTATGTGACTTGGTCACAGAGTGTCACAAATTTGTTAATCCCCCATCATCGATTATGTATGATACCTTATAAGATTAACAATAATTTGATCTGTAATAAGAGTTTTGTTATGTAACGTTTAAAATATTTTTATTTATATTACAGTTTTTCCTTTGTTTTATTAGGTTACTATTGGTTACTTTTTTAAACTAAACTTTGTTACTATTTAAAATTCGAAGTTTAGCGGGCGCCCTGGAATTGACTATATCTCAAAAACTGCTTTACTTTTATAATTTTTGAGAGTATTTCCGGATTCAGGGGACACTTTTACATAAGAATTGAATATTATATGTCAGGTATACCATGCTATCCCATAGTATACCATGGTATAAGTGAAAAAGCAGCCACTAATAACTGTAGTAATTAGTCATTTTTGACTAATTCATTTTTAGAGAGTAGTTATTTCTTACTAAAGAAATAAATTTAACATTCGTGAAATCACGCGGTTTGTGTTTCAAAACGTCTTTTAAAAATAAATATTTTGTTGAAATAGGTGCCTTTTATTCGAATATAATAACAAAACATTTTTCTTACTACCTCGACTCAAAATACGTTGTTTCGTCCCCGATTTCACGGCAGAAAGTTTACGTTTCTTGCATTGGTCAAGCTATACGCGCACACTCTAATAGCGGGAGTAAAAATTTTTTTCTTACTACCTCGACTCAAAATACGTTGTTTCGTCCCCGATTTCACGGCAGAAAGTTTACGTTTCTTGCATTG